GGGGAAGGCTCGGCGGCACTCACCTCCCGGCTAGCATAAGCTCCTTCTCAGATGGTCGTGATCGAATTTTGGTGTAAATGTCCATCGTGAACAAAGTACTAGCACTGTTAAAAATGGAAGTCAGGGAGCTCATAAGGGAGGCCAACATGACCGACAACATCAGACCCCGCAGACCTGAAACGCAGAGAGAGGTGACCTGAGAGGAGCGCTGCGGGACGAGGCTCAGTACCTGGCACCACTCGCACCGTGTCTGAGCCCTTCCAGCAGCCAGCTGTGACTTGCTCTGCCCTAGCTATGTGCCAAAGCCTGCCTGACGTTCTGCAGTGCAAGCAGGGTGATGTCTGCTGAACTTTAGAAAAGCTATCTGCAGCCCTGATAGGGCAATTCTTGAACTTTTAGAACACAGGTGCTTCTTTTGTGAATGCTGTCTGATTAAATGCTGAAATGAAAAGAAAAAAATACTAAGCAGAACTTTCCCCATGTTATAAAAAATAATTTCTCTTGTTTGCAGGCAAGCGCTCACTTGCTTGTGGTATATTTGTAAACCAGTTGTTTGTCAAAAAGAAGTTTCTTTTACTGTTTGAAAATCACAGTAAGCCACTTTTCCAGATGGTATGATCTAGTCAACAGAGTATGCAGAAGTACTGTGGTATTTTACTAATACTATTTACAACAGATATCTGATGGGGAAGTACTAAGGATATCAGGGAAGTACCGTGGTCTGTTTATCATAATCTCTCTTTCTACCCTTATGAATCAGCTCTGTGGCTTTCTGCAGAAATTTAACTTCTAATATAGTTCTCTCCAGAGTCACGCCTTATTCTCTCACTGAACCTGTGTCCCATGGGACAATGTGCACAGAGAGTATTTTCTCCTCCCCCTCAGTGGTTTAGCAGAAGGATTACAGGTGTATGCCTCCACCTCAGAAATCCTGGCAGAGATGGTCTTTGATAAATCATTGGCAATGTGGGTGACTTTTTGCCTTCCCAGGAAGGGAGCTCAATTACCATTTCTTCACCCGGTATTTGCCAGCCGAGAACTGACATTGTCAGCATGCAGCTATTCTGCACCTACAGCTACAACTGGTAGACACTACTCCTTTCAATAATGGCATGCAGTTCTGGCAAGAATTTTTTAACTAAATCTGGGACTTGGGCTCCCTTTATCAGCTGTTTTCACAGCCTGGCAGCCTCACCTTTCCTAAAACAAACACAGAAATGAACAAATACAGACCGTGCCTTACCATTTGGCATAAGCTCTACTACCATCTTTGGATAAGCAATATTTGTACAGCCAACTGCAGTGCCACAGTACTGCTGGCAGACTTCAGGCACAACACAAGCCACCACATCTGAGGAGAGGATAATGAGACAGGATTAGACAAGGCCATATAAACAACAGATTGCTCACAAATTAGTAGAGCTTCTAAAATTTGTCTTTGTGTTGAACCACTGGACATGCTTGATATCATCCTTGGTCTGCTGGCAGGTAGGAAGGTGACTCTAAGCCTCTATCCTTCCATTCCTTTCTAAAAGAATGCTGAAAAGTGTTGCAGGTCAAAAAACCAACCAACCAACCAACAACCACAAAAACAAACAAACAAACAAACAAACAAATCAGCATTAGTCAGACCAGGACTGACCAGCACAAGGAGAGCAAGTAGAAGAACAAGCAGAAGAACACAGAGCCACCTCCCTCCAACCAGAACACCTCTCCTCTGGCTGCTGCTAAGCACACTGGTGGTCAGAGGGAAGGGAGACTGGCATCTCCCCTGCATTGCACTGGGGACTGTCCGTGGCCCAACAATACTACTGTGACACTGTTGAGCCTCCTCCTCTGATGGCCAGCTGTCCTGGACAGCACTTGCCACTCGTTCAGCCGGAGTGGGGCTGCAATAAACAGACAGCTGTTTGGGACACTGTGGAATTTCTCTCCCCTAAAACAGCAGTAGCATTAGCAGCAACCTGGGGTCAGGGAAAAGAGTAAGGTGTGTGGCCTCTTACAGTGTAGTTAGGTCTTGTGCACACATGTGCCTGGACAATTTGGATGACAAGATGACAATCTAACAGGTATTTTGGAAGGGATGGAGAACAGGAAATTGCGAGAGACTGGCAGTGAAAGACAGGAAGGTGAGAAGGAATTTGCATACCTGTATACAAAATTCGGCTGATCATTCCAGGCATCACTATAATAAACATGGGCAAGAGTTTCAGGTATCCACACATGATACAACCAGCCTTCACATGGGACATGTTCTTTCCAGAGAGACATCTTTGGACAATAACCTGTCAGTGAGACATGGCAAGCATGCATGAACCAAGAATAGCACTTCCATGAACACACCATGCCAGGTTCCAGATAGGAGGCACTTCTTAACCTCTGTGATGGTGAAAGAGCCTATTTAGTGATTCTGCCACTAGGAAAAATAAAAACTACATAAAAATCAAAAGATATATTTGAAATAAGTACAGAAAAATATCATTTATGCAGGGTATGTTTAAGAGGTAAGACTCTCACAAGATATACTAAATAGCAAAATAGATATACTAATAAGCAAAAAAATAATATTTACATGGGCAATAGATACAGTTAGATTGTGTTTTTTCATTTGTGTACAAGTTGTGAAGAATGTCTTTCTCACAATTCAGAATGCAGACAGATCACTTGCTAGAGACTGGACACATTCTCAAGTTGCAGCAGCACACTTTCCTCTACTCAAGTCAGTGTGATCTTTTGGGGAAACTGGATGGTAGGTTTTAGGGAGAAGGAAAGAGGCCTAAGAAGACTCCAAACTGAAACACTTGACATGTAAAGAACATCATCCTAAGACTATGCATGCAAAGATGAAAGCCACACAAATAAGAAACAAACTCAGGTTACTGAAAGGCGAATGACATCTAGATCCAGTCTAATGAGGATCATTTGATACATGGTTTCCTAAGCAAATGTTCACATTACAACCTCTCTGAGTTATATACACGGTCGCACGCAGAAAATGAGAAAGGAATTATACACAGGATCTGCTGGGCACAGTGTATAAGAAGAACTGAAAGATCACCCATTCCATTTTCTCACATGTGGGAGCAACCAAAAGCTGAACAGTCATTGACCACTCTTGGAATAAGTGCCATTTCTGTACCCCAGCTTTGAATCACAGCAGGGAGGACACCCCTAGATCACACCAGACTGCAGCGTTTTGTGTTTGGCCTTTCCACAGCACACAGCTTGCACATTACCTGATCCGTGCACCAGTACCACATGGCGAGGATGCTCAAGCCAAAGGTGAGGGCTGGCCAGGGCATATCTCCGGTGACCGCGTCCCGGAAGATGTGAAAGGAATCCTTCCGAGGAGTGTAGCATTCTGCACTGATTGTGGTATTCCCATAGGAGATATTGGATGGAATTGCTTCCATGTACTTCTGCATAAAAGCATCATACCCTCCTACTTCAGCAAATGCTGAAAAATAGAAAGTAAAGGTAACGGTGAAGCATTTAATACTGAAATCTCAAATCCAAAACTAGCATACAGCATTTTGTCAGTATTCGCACAGTCTAAGTACCAAGTGACCTTGCTTTTTAGTTTTCTACAGAGCTCACAAATGTTGGTTTAGGCTCCATTGTCTCAACATCTCTTACACGTGCCTTGCCAAGAAGTGAAATGAAGCTACATCCTTTCCACACACTGTTAACCTAGGGAGAACATAAGGCAGGGTCTTAGCTGGCTAGGTCAGTCTTGAGTTATGTCTGCTCTAACTGTGGTGGAATAATGGCATCTCAGTGAAAGACCGAGCCAGAGGAAAACCAAGCTCTGACTAACTAGAAGGATAAGAAAAGGACACTACATATTCATGGAATCTTACCACTGCTTCTTTCCTTCTTGTGACCCCTTCCTATTAATTCTGTTTAAGAGCATGATTTCTGTTTTAAAATGCACATGGTCTTCTGGACACAGACATTATCCCATTCATAGACATTCCGTTTGTATCTTTTGTCCAGCTGGCAATATTAATGACTTCCACAGATCAACTACAAATGCTAATCTGTTTTGGTTGTTTTAACACAAGCTAGCAGCTAGAAACAAGGAAAAAACATGCAACAGGATCAACAGCTCCTCACTTTGAATCACAAATGTTCATGCATTAGCATCTGAATATCTACAAAATTACAATCTTCTTAAAACAAGATACTCTCTGAACTTCTCAAGAGTATTATCATCACCTGCAGACAACTCCACTTTCACTTCATTAGCCATCACAAGCTCTGTTCAGTCACGGGATGCTGTGTATTACCTCATACATTCCCCTGTGCTTTGCAGGTGTGGTGGTCTCAATGACCAGAGGACTTGGCAATATGCCTGGTTTCTTCCCTGATAAATAAGGTGTATGAACTGAAATCTACTGGTTAAGATAACAGGGTTCCACACTATAGGATCTATTTCCTTAGCCATTGTGGGATTTGTAGTTGAACATTCCAATTTAATTAATCTGATTTACTTACCAAATCCCATAAGAATAAAGGATCCCACTACCATGATAAATGTTTGCAAAGTGTCCGTGTAAATCACAGCTGCAAGGCCACCTAATGGCAAAGAAAAGTCAAGACAAACAGACTACCCATGTGCAAATGCCACAGGGGAAACCCTTTTTTCTACTTTTCTCACCACCTCTCTCTTTCAGAGAAAGACCACTGTAAACAACTCCCCTTTCAGGTTTTCATTTCCCCCCTCTTACCCACCTTACCTCTTTTTTCTGGCTCCCCTAACTTTTCTGATTTATCACTGTGCTCTGCAAACTCACCTGTGATGGTATAAAGAGCAGTAATAGCAAGCAGGATAATTATGGCCAAATAAAGATTCAGCCCTATGGCCAACTGTATGAATACAGCTCCAGAGAAGATATCTGCCTACAAAAGAAAAATTGATAGATTAAGCAGTGTTTCAGTCCATGAAGATGGTACATCACGCATTCATGATGAGGGTACTGAAATACACAGCTTCCCCCTTACAGAACTACACACACCCCAAACAAACACATCAAAAAGAAAATAGAGGCCATTGTAGTACAACTGCCAGTCTCCCCTCAGTGCCGTGCTGCTTTCAGTACTAGAGTTGTAAGACTTTTCAAAGAATGTCCAAGCCTTTTTCTGTGCATCATTTTAGCTAGACACAGAGTCACCTTTCTACTCCCTGCTTACATATGGAGAGGCCTTAATAACACGACTTCAAGCTCAGGTTACACTCGCTGCTCTGTGCGGGGGTGGACTCTGTGACACCTCCAAGACACAGGGTAGTTCCTTTCATTGAATACTACTCTATAAATCCATTACTTTTTCTTTACTGCTTGTGTACGTGTGGTATAGCTAGTCTTGCTGGCTCAGGACAAATGGTAATTCAAGGCAAACATCTCTATTTTTTAAGCTCCTGTCAGAATAATTGACATCAGTTGGCTAACAGAAGAGACCTTTACCTCTTGCATAAGGAACTGTTCAGGTTTCACTCTGGGATTCTAATCACATTAAATCAGTTCCTGATTTAGAGAGAATTTTCATCAATGTTATTTATCCAAGTTTACAATCAGAATAATCCACAACTGGAATAATCCAGCCCAGTGCACTTGTAACGGGTTACTGTAAAACCTGTAAGTTCGTTACAGGTTTGCATCCATACCTCTCCTTGCTCCCAATTATTCAGTTCATGGGCTCCTCTCCAATCCCACCTGCATGCCTCCTTCCAGGATACCACATCACATCTGTGAGGGCTCTATACTGGGAGACTTCTCATTTAACAGTGCAAGTCCTAGTGGCACTCAGCAAGCTCAGGAGCTGCAAAATGCTGCAGGAGTTGCCTTTATGCAGGGCCTGAGAGAGCAAGCCAAGCACGGGGTGTGCCCTGGGGCAAAGCCTGTGCACAGGACACGGCCGGGCAGCTGCCAGGCTTGCTGCGGGAGCGAGAGGTTCCCCGGAGGGGGGCTGTAGGACAGCCAGAGCCTGGGAGCCCAGGGCAGGCACTTGCACTGCTCTTGTCCCGTGCTAGGCTGAGCTGAGGCAGGGCAGTGGGACTCTTAAGCTGTTATAAAGTCTGGCTAGCTGGGAGATGCCAGATGAAGAAATCCTCTTCATTCCAGAGACTGCAGGGCATGGTCTCACCCTTAGCTCACTCTGGAGAATGAAGAAGAGTATGGACTTCTGCAGCATGAGCCCCTCTGACCCTGCTGCCCTCACATGCAGAAAACAACAGTGAAGCAGAGTGTGAATCACAACAGAGGTCCCACTCCTGAAACTCTGCCTCTGGAGCAGCTTGAGCTTATTTCATTTCTTATGGGTTTTAGTCTGGAACTGGAAACCAGGCCTCCTAGCTTCTATCCCCAGTGGCTGTTAGACTATATCCTTTGCCTCTGCTCTCTATGGTAATATTTTTTTCTATTTTTTTCACACCACTGATCAGCTTATGTCCCCAATCTTTTATTGTTCTTGGCTTTCATTTAGCCTATATTTTATTAAATATTAATGGTCTTAAAATGACCCCCAGAAAGAAATGTATAGTTAATTATTTAGCATTCTGAGTAATATATCAGCCTCTTCAAATTATTTTTGCCTTCCGAGCTTACTGCTCTTCCCTCCCAATTAGATTATTGCCTTGCAGTATTTCCTTATTTCTTCATTTATAGTCTTTTATGGACACTATTTAATCTTTATCTTAACTCTGAATAGAGTAAATCTTTTCTTTACATTACAAGCTATCTCTCCAAAGCCCTGTACTGCTGGTGCAGGAACAACTGGGAGAGCAGACACCAACTGAGTGAGTCCAGCTGCGATGTTACTGTGGGAGTCAGGGCAGCAGTGGTACATTCACCCTCTACACCAGGCAGCCCTAAGAGGAGATTATCCTTCTCTCTCCTTTTCCCCCTCATAAGTCTATGCCCATACATTTACTACTGAAATTACAAACAATGAATGTAAGGAAAATGTTGTGATACATTTAGAAATTTCAGTATACAATTTCTGATCTCTTCAGAAGAATTCCCTTTTGTCTTGTCATAATTCAGTCAGTTACACTCCACCAGGACCTTATTTTCACCAGGCCATTTTCTTTGCCATAACGCCCAGTATCAGCAGCATTGGTGGCAAGCAAGCCCCTAAAAGCTGCTATGGGCATTACTCACAAAACACTGCACGCTTACGGAGCGTGGATATGTGAGGCACCTGTCCAACAGAAATCCTTTGGGCTCAAAGATCACGTGTGTTCTGATCCCATCCTTGCAGCATAGGCTTATCTGGCAAGGGGTTGATTAGGCACAAAACGAGGTAAGAAATGAACAAAAACTACACAGAAAATGTGCAGAAGAGAAATAGTAACGACCTTGTACAGAGGTGTGCAAAGGGAACCTGATCATCACAGGGTGGTGGGCACTGTGCCAGAAAGAGCATGCCAGGGCTTACATTTTATGTTGTCCATTGGAAAGCACCACAATAATTGTATTCTTAAGAACATTAGAAAATATATTAATACATCACAGAAGCAACATGTGAAATAACTACACCAGAAACAAGACACCATTTCTACCAGGATAAGAGGCACTAAGTAAGGCTGACAGTCAAACTGATTGGTGTGGCTGCCTGATAAGGGCAGGGCACAAACCCACCCTCCTGTGCCAAGTCTCAATAAGCCCTGAAGATCACAAGGGAGTGTTTGCAAAGGCAGCAGTCAAGGAAGTAAAATGCAAATCTCCAAGCCTGCTTGGATTATCAACACATGGATGTCTTTGGATATACAACGTGCATCTGGGAGGAGGGACCTGTGCTAGCTTCACACAGCATGCATATCTCAACACATCCTCTGACAGTACCTTAAACCTCCAAGGACTTTGACTGTTCTGCCTATTCTGAGTAAGATACAGCAAGTAAATCAGACCTGGGCAAATCCTGCCCTACCGAATGCAGCGATGTAAGACAACAGTGCAGAAGATGTGTTTGTATACTACAGAAATCTGAGACACATTTGTACATGAGACAGGCACTGTCAGAGTCGTTCTGGGCAGATGGGGGAAACAAGAAATGGTTAGAGGAACTTGTCACCAGATTTTTCCCCTGCAAGGCACAGAAATCCAGCTCATGGCAATTCCCCACACGCATTCAGAATAACTGACTGATGGGAAGCTGGGATGAGCCATTGCTGGAGTGGGGCCCAAGTAATCTGTTGCTGTATGGATCTGATGCTGTATGACTACTGCTCTGTTCTCTAATAAGACAGGAACACAAGGGCAGAAGAGGGTGTTTCAGCCTCATGACCACACTTGAAGGCTTAAATGGAGAACCTGTCTTGCCTGGAAGCAAGACACTCCAACAGGAACAGCGTGAAATCCCATGACCAGATCCTTAGGCCTGATACAGGGTGGAAGGAAAAGCCAGATAGTAAATTCAGGACCTATGTAACACCTTGATGGGCCCATTACAAATATGTGTTGCAGAATAGGCATGTGAGTCATCTGAGTGGAGGAGTTTCTCAGCTGCAAGAGCTGCCAGAACTCTGTGTCATACCTGGGATTTCTGATTATGGTAGTTAAGCACAATAGCAGCAAATTAACCAATCCTTTTGAAATATATGGAAATCCAGTGCTGAGGCCATCTCCACAGTACCAACCTGTTTAATTTATAACCTTTCTAAGGATCAGTTATCATGAAGATGTGAGAATGAGAGCAAAAGGCCAATCTTTTAGCTTAAATTGCACTATTATCACTCAGCTCCCATTCAGAGGGCAAAGAGTAATCTGCCATGGCAACTTCTGCAAAACAACAGGTTGAGGTATGCCTGAACTGTGGACTTCTTTAGAGGCTTGGTAGTTTCAAGATATATATAGAAAACACCAGGTCCCTTCACTACTACACAGCAATACAGCCACTTACTTAATAAACTTTTTCTTATCTAGATCATGCTTTTCCAAGAGATGTTGGACCAGGTGATCCTTAACGTGCCTTCCAACCTGGTATTCTATGATTCATTAACTTCATAGCACCTTAAACTTTATACTAACCACTTGTCCATTAAAAGAATCCCTGTCCTTCCCTCCTTTCACCTCAGCTGTTATAATTTCGCTCCTTTGCATTTCCCCACTCCCTTATTTTCTAATCCCTATTACTCTCTTTGTCTCCATCGCCCTCTTGCTCTTTTCCCTCATCCATGTTACCAATGACACATTCACCAGAGGGTCCTAAAATAGATAAATAAGAAATGCGAGGACAAAAATTCCTGCCACATGTTTTACAGGTCCCTAGGATAATAGACTGTAACACAAGTTTCCCTCCACCCTGACTTGTTCTAGAGACAAGCATAAGTAGAAGTAAACCTTAAAACCTAAAAAAGAGAGAAAGCACAAGCATCAGAGACATTGCCAGGAAGGAAAAAAACTGGGGTTGCAGAACAGATCTGGATACACAATCTCACTAGACAGAATAAAGAAAACAGTCTTATTTTTACAGTCCTTAACTCAACCAAGGGATTCAAATCAGAAGCAACGGACCAATTGTGTGAGCAATATTGTAAATGGGAGTTTCTTTTCTTCAGATGAATGTAGGATAGAAGAAATGCTGTAAAAGTTTTACTTACTGAGATCTTTGTGAAAATATACAGGATCAGAGAAAGGACTGACAGGTAGATCTGAATCCGTTTCCCACCAAAACGCTTCCTCAGATACTCTGGCATGGTCACCACCTGCAGGGGGGGTAGATAAGGTTTCACAGAACGGGGAACAGATACAAAGCAAACTGGAGGAAGCTTTTTGCTGCTCAGAGTGGAGCACAAAGGTAGGGGAGCTACAAATACAGTTGAAGGAAGAACAACGCCAAGAATCAAAGAACAAGGAGAGAGCACCAAGTACTTCTCAGTTCAAGTCTCAGAACAGAGAATCCTCACTTTTCAAATCTGGACAGACATCACATAGTACGGTTCTAGCAGGCTCAGATCTTGTGCCATTCATAATGGCCTTGCAGTATTCAGGACCTGACCCACAAACATGAACAGCAAAGAAAAGCATAACGTACTGGTTTGACTTACCCCAGCTTTGATGTAGATGGGTACAAACAGCCATCCTAGAACAACCACAAATATCAGAGCCTGTAGCCAAGACAAGATCAGCTGAATTATCCTCCTCTCTCTAGACAGCACTCCCAAAGATCATTTATCAGACTCAATAGCTGCTAGACACCATTGAAACTACATAAACCAGGGGTGGGGGTAAGGAACTGCTCTGTCCTTTGATTGACAGTTGAAAATTTGGGAAGGAAATCTTGGCCAAGAATTTTGTCAGGTATTATGCAGCCTGGATTTCACGCTAGATGCAGCACTAGCACTACCAGACTATCCTAGTCCTCTTCAGAGCTAGCCCAGAGAGCTTGGTTTAATGACAGTTAAATGGAACCAGACCCCAAGACTACTGCTTTGGGAAGTTATTGAGGAAGGTGAAGTCTGCCACCTGAGACCTGCTCACCAGCATCTTGATGCCAGAGCCACTAATGCTGGATACTTCCCCACTCGGAATCAGGTATGCTGCAATGGTAGGTTGCAACATCTGCAAATCTAGGCACTGAGGAGAACAGCACTTCTCTTGAGAATCTGCTCAAATACAGACATGCATCATTGCTTCTTCCTACACAACAGTTGCTATACACTGTGTATTGATATTAGTCCACAAAGAATATCTTGGGAGATGAAGTGTTAGGGGTGGATATGTTTGAAGAGGGATATAGGTCCTAGAGATTTAAGTATTATGAAACTTGAAGCAATGCTTGTTCTGTTTTGTTCTGCTTAGTTTCGGTACAGAGAGAAGGAAAATCAGGTTTGTTACAGGACTGGTGTAATCAGTTGAAGAAAGATGACATTAACCATTCTCATCTCTTAAGAGTTCATTTTAGCCTCTATCCTTCCCCTTCAATATTTATATTATATGGGTACTTGACTATTTACAGCAACCATCTACTTGCTAAAGGGAAAAGGCACATCTCTCAGGGTGCTGGGCTTCTTTCACTGTGCAGAATTAAATGCAAGTATTGACCTAGGTACACCCATTGAGTCCTTTGTGTCATGGTGTAATTCCTTCTATGAAGGTGAATTAAGCAAAAGGAAGGATTACTATCCACACCCACAGAGCCTAAGAATAGGAGGAAATGGACTGAATTAGCTCATGTGGATCTCCATGCTGTTGCAGCTAACATTACTCCTGGTACCCCAAGTAGTTAAAGTCAGCTTGGATATCTCTACCCCATACTACAACCACAAGCAAAACGCACACATAATTAGGGGAAGAAGAAAGTAAACAGGAAGATTTTTGGAATGCAAACTTTTGGTTGTGAATGGTGCCCAAAAGTTCTTATAGCCTGTGAAGAAAGCAAAGCCTCTTCAATAATTCCTACATAACAAAATACTGTAAATAATACTATGCATTACAAAACTGATAAATTCTTCCCAACATCCTGCAGTTTGAAACTGCTCTTCATAAATGCTTTAAAAGTAATCAAAAGAGAAGAGAAACCACCAATTTATTTGGTTCAAATGCTCTTTAAAAAGCATTATTCAACAGAAAAGGGTCACCTTCTCCCAGTGGTTTGGACAAGGACCAAGGAGGACAATCTAAATAGTAGATAACAGTGGCACATACTGGTTTGTACAGAAAACAAACTGCTGCCAAGCACAAACTTTGACAGTCCTAAGGCAACTTTATTTTGATTAACCTCTGCAGTTAATCCTGATGTCATAAATATGTTCACTTAAATGCATGCCACTTACATTCCATTCATATCCTCCGATGGCAATTCCTCCAGCTGCTGCTGTTCCTGCTATTCCCACAAAATGTCCACTGCCGATGTTACTGGCAAACAGAGAAGCACCAATCTGGAAACAGAAAGAACAGTATTTGGCTTTTAGGTCCTGTTCACAGTAACCTGAAAAAAGCGTGTTCATCTGGCCTTGTGAACTCATGCCCATCTACCATCAGCTGGTGATGATGAGAATGATTGGCAAAGAACTTTCTTGACAACTTTCAAAGCTCCCTCTTATTGTTCGCCCTCAAACCTGAGACTCCAGCCATCATATCTACAATGAGAACAAACAGGATGTTGCACAGATCTTCTTCCCAAACAGTTTATGACACCAATATAGACTTTAAAATATCTGCAGAACGTGACTTAACTTAGATTTGGGTGATATAAAAAAAAAAAAGGACTGTGATCTGTCTTGCTCAAGGAGGAGACAATAAGTGCATACCCAATGTCAAATTGGCACTCCCAATTCCATACTCCACAGCCTGGGGAACTAACTGTATCACTGGTGAAAGCTGTACAGACTTGCCACTTGGTTCACTTTTAGTGGAAAGATACATAGGGGAGAACATAGGAACCAATGAGCAGGGAGAGATTAAAAAGATGAAAGGTTTATGCTGGATTACAGACAGGCACAAGCTGCTCACCAAAGAAAGATTGTGCCAAAAGATCCGATTCTTATCAAATAGCTCAGAAAATATAAAAGATGAGGAGAAAAGATATGAGCTTCATTTCCTCAAAACGAAACCATTAAAGGCAGCAGAAATGCCTGATGATAATTCATGAGATCAGACACTGAAGGATGCAGGGTGAGAAATTGAGCATGAAAAAGAGGTGGGATTGAGTATTGCAGGCAGGAGACATGTGAGCTGGAGTAGTTCCAAAATGAAAAGAGGTGAGTGAATGTTTTTTTATGTGCTTTGAAAGCTACAAAGAAAAAAGGAAAAAAGGAAACAGGGTTAAAAATAAAAGCAAAGCATATTGGAAGCAGGCAAAAGAACCTCTGCTGACCAGCTTCTAACACTCTCTTTTGAGGTAGAACTCTTCTGCTGAAAGATCCCAAGGTGTTTAAAAATATGTCTTTAGACATACAAATACAGAGCCTGCACCCCACACATTCTCCTGATGTAGTCCTGAAGTACAAGTAGTTGGAATCTGTTTGGAGTCACCTTACAAAGGGGAGAAATATTCCTTGCTTGCAACTTCCTGGGAGGTTTTTAGGGCCCTAAAATGTATAAAATGGGAATAGTTACAACTTTCCAGGTCTGCAGTCTCTGTAGTGAGTTCTTTGACTAGCAGTAAAAATTGGCAATCTTTCTGAGAGCACATGTACGAATCCCTGAGATTCAGGAGGATAAAAGGGATTTCATCATAGAAACCCACCTCTGAAGATCAGATTTATTCTATATAGTTATGCCACAGCCAGAAATAGCAACCGTGCTCTTCAACTCACAATCCTGATCTCTAATCACAAGATAGATTTTCCTCCCTCATTTTTTATATGCAACATATAAATAAAGTTCATCAGAGGATTCCACTCTTTGTTTTCAAGCTTTCTTTTTTCTCCTTTCCTCACTTTGATCTCTTTATTTCTTCTAGTTTTTTTACAAATTGTTCCTTTGCCATGACAGGAAATGTAGGTCTCTAAGTTCACTCAGTTCTGGATGTCAAAAAAAAATTTTCACACATGTCTAGAAGACAGTTGTGCCCTACAGAAATGGAACCTGTTTGTCATATGACAGATATTTCTACAGAAATGATAGGTGTTACAACAAGCATTAGTTAATAAGCTAGAGAGATCATTGATAATATGGAAAACCTTTTCTTCTGCCCTCTTTGTGACAGCAACAGTGTTTTCCCAGCAATGATCATGAAGAAACAAATACCATTCATACAAAGCATAAGCACTGTTGTCCAGTGTTTTCCACAGAGATGAAAAATTAAACTGAAATCTAGGTTACTAGAAATACAATTGACAGAAAAGATTGACCACATTAATCTCTGATTTTATTTAATGTGTTTTCTCTTCTTCTGTTTCAAGAGCTTAAAATACACTGCAAGAAGATCCAAATAACTGAAGCAGCTAATGAAGAACTTTGAGAACTGAGAGCTGTAGTAAGCTTTGGTCAGTGCCTGAAAGCCCAGGACATACTACAGCATTCACTGACAGTGCTGTGTTCCCCACTTCACCCAGAGTACCACTGTACTGAAAGATAAATACAAACCCAAACCAAAGCAATGCAAAACTACCAACGTATTTAGAACCAGCACAAGGACAAAACAAGCTAAATGCAGACACCACCTTCACTTTCTGAAGTTTTTTCTCTGAATTGGGGAACATCCAGTGCAGCAGAACTGTAAGATCAACACATACTAATAATGGATGCAGTTTTAAAAATGTTTTCTATTGTTATGTGTACATAGAAAGGTAGATCATGGCTTCACAGCTGGGAAAATGCTTATTACCCTTAAAACTGCAGCACGGTTAAAGCAAGAGGAGTGTTTATCAAAGACACTTGGACCCTGTTAGCTGCTGATGCCAGAGGGGAAAGAGAAATTTCCCATCTGCCACAGCAGTACTCTAGGGATGAGGGAAGAAGGCAGATGGACTCTGGGCCCAAGTTGTCTTGCTGAAGAACTTACTGCTGTGGTATTTTTGTACTGAAAAGGCTGATTACTGGAGTTGCTTGATTTGCCAGTGGTAGATGCTGCAGTACACCTCTGCACGACCTAAAGAATGCTGGGCTGAAACAGGGGCATGACACAGGGGAACACTTTTCTAGAAATGTAAAGTGTTCTCAGTGAAGGTGTTAGTGAATTGATTTTATAAACAGATCTAGGAGGAAAAGTAAAGGAAGTTGATTGAAAGAAACAAAAGCTTGTAACAGGAAAAGAGAGGACAAACCACTAAACTAACCTGAGGCAAATGTGGAACATTAACTTTTTAAAAATCTTTTAAGAGGTCAGGTTTTAACAAGAGTAGTCTGTTCAGGAAAAGTACCACCACTCTGCAGACAGATGATGATCACTATGTTTTTTCCATGTTATTCATTAACTGTTTCACCTTGCTCCTTTCATTAACTTGAGGATGCACTGACATCCTGGTGCTTGCTGTTCCAGATCATATACAATGTACTCTGCAAATCAGTGACTGCTGCAGCCAACAGCATGCAGACTTTACAGGTGATGCCTTTTCTCCCTCCCAGGACCTGCTAATACATATCCTATGCCCCTAATGTCCACTTTCCTGTTTGAACGCGTTAGCTCATTATCAGACTCTTCCCCCAGTCCCCAGAATACCTCACCTGTGGCCTTTAGCTCCTTTACAGAGAACAGCAGAGACTCCCTCACATCGGCGTGAAGTCGTGAGCCTTGCCCCAAGCTACTGCTTCTCCCATGGGTCACCTGCAGAAGCTGCTTCTCAAACACCTCTTTCCTGGACAAATTTCTCATTCTCTTGTTTGAGAACTACCCCTTGACACCATTAATGCTTTTCTTTAACTCACAACTCTTCCCTCAAACATGTGAGTTTACCCTGATGGAAGGATATATTTTTTTCTGCCTGAGTTTTTTGGCATCACCCTCAGTCACTTTGGAAAAACTGTTACACTGCTCACAACAAAATAGTACTGCCACCTTTGCAAGGCTCTGAGACCTAAAGAAAGAAGTTTAGGTTCTTACTCTGCTTTCCCAATTACTCTGCAAATTCTAAGTATTGCACTCTTGCTGAATTAAACCACATATACACACTGTAATTCACTAAGTGAGAGAGATGAACATACAGTACACATCAAATAACAGGTCTCTGTCCTCCCACCAGCCCATCAGACATTGGAACAGCATGGTCACAGGCAGGCTGATCTGATACCTTTCCACCTTTGTTCTCTGAAACAGAAACAACACCTCCTGGCTGGCAGCAGAATTCTGATGGATTCTGCAGATATCTGTTCCACTGAAATTTTCCTTTTCTACCAGAGCTTTGATTTGATTACTTTATTATTCTTTTTACTCTGAAAATTACTGATTTCACACTATTTTTTTTCTGCACGGAAATTGCCAAAATAAGTTAATTTCTTATTTCACTTTACCTAAGAAGAAACACAAATCTTATTCATACCAGAGTTGTCTTTCCTGTCTCCTCACAGCAGTGCCAGAATCAGCAAGTGGGGAGAAGTCTGCAAATATGCAAAACTTAACTGGATGCAGAGATTTGAGAAATCCTGCCAGGGTCAGTTCTGATGGCCATAAAGATAAGCCATGCAGAACTGAAGAAAAAGCTGGGCTTTTTTTTACCTTAATTCTTATCTGTCTCAGAAAGATCAACACCTAAGTGACATCAAATGAGCTGAGTTACATTTCAGTTTAAGGTGTAGTATGCCCTTGATTCTACATTCACTAAATCTTTCTAACCATAGCTGGGCTTCAGATGCCCAGCAGATACTCTTTGTCCTATTAGCATTTATGCCTCAGGAACTGAGGTACATGAAGTAACCCATAATTTTGTGCAGACAGCTCTGTCTGCAAAACTAGAGAGCCTAAAGAACGAAATTCAAAAGCAGGAAAGCTTCAAAATTGAAGTTGTGTATGGTGTTTTGTTTTTTTTAAACTGTGCATGAAACCCTGATAATCCTCTGAGAGCAGCTGCTACCAAAGCTGACTGTTCTTCAGGAAAAGATACTTCATTTCCTACAATGGCAGAAAGAATTTGGCTGAACCTAGCTCCTACATCTAACAAAAAAAGCTGAAGTTAAGTTTGTAAGGCCCACTGTTACAAAGCTGTCACTTTCCTGAGCTTCTCTGTGTCTTTTAGGAAAAAGCAGAGTGGGTTATGAGTCTTCAAAGAGCCATATGTGTCTTTCCTGAAGACATTTCCTTAAAGCCCAAGAGACTAAAACCAGTTACTTGAAGATTCTTCTCTTAGTTTCTGTAAAAAGACTGTGGAAAGGGCACAGCACTTCATACCATCAGGTTTAACTAACAGCAGATTTCAATTTCTGGCAGTCAGTGAGATCTTAATTAAACACCTCGATCCATAATTAACTACTGAAACTACTGAGTTGGCTCATCCACGGCACAAGGGCAGTGATTCCAGTGAACTAACACAGAAGGGACCTATTACCTCAGCAAAACACCCAGGAAAGACTAACACCGTGGGCTTGGGTCTACAAAATACTAAGCAACCTTTGTGGATTCTGCTGGAGCCAACAATCAGAGCTGAAGCTGGACAGATTTGGAACATGATCACTTGCTGCTACTTTGTACATAGAGAAATGGAATCATCATCAGCAAAGTGACTGACAGTCAAACCTGCAACATCCGTATCAGAAGTGGGACTAACCTCCAGCCCTCGATTATCAGGGTCTTTTCTAGTCTATTATAGCATCATATAATTTGATATGAACAGAATCCCTTTCCTAGTCTTGTCAGCAAAAGATCCTAATACATTCCCAACTCTCTTTCCCCTGTGAGGTCAGAATAGCCTGTAGAGCATAGAACACAGCACAACACTGAAAAATACAATTACTTTAAGGGGATTATGTTCATAACAAGTTTGGGAAAGGAATATTTTTAATTTTTTTTTCTCTGTTTCACAAAACAATTACATGGAAATTTTCATTATCCTGAAATGTCAGGGAAGAAATCTGATAAATAAGAGCCCACTTATGAACCAATGTCCCTCACCCTGTCTTGCACCTACAGCCTGTAGAAATGCATCTGGGCTTTCCAGAACCATGCCAGGTTAGTCCTGACATGGCACAAAAGAAAAGTCAAAGCACAGAAGTGCAAAAATACACAGAGCATTAGCTCACATTTTTGAGTGAACTTTCTATACTTTCATTGGTTTCCTAGTCACTTCAGCCCACTTTGCACTGGGTGATGGACATCCCATCTGCCTGCTAAACTGTGGGAATAGGTGTTTTGGAATCTCTTTCTATCCAAGGCAAGCTTTTCAAGGTGGTGCTGCTGACATAGTATTTATTTTGTGATTTAAGTGCTTGCTCTTTGTTTATTTTGAGTGATAACAGGAAGAATAGCAAGAAGGGTTTATTTTTATGGTGCAGAAAGACACTTCTAGCATTCCAAAGTGAAGGATTGATGGGGTGGTCTAGGTAGGACTCAACTAATGACTAGCACTTCATCCATGCTAAGCTCACAGACTTCAGGCAGGAGAAAGAGGATCCAAGCAGCAACCACTTCACTGTGTGATCATCTCTTTTGTCTTCCTACTGGAGGAAGGGAGCTTGCTGAAGCTGTTGGATTTGTATTGGCAGAGAACTCAGCATTAGATTATCTTCCCTGAGTTTTAGGGGAATCATTAGGAGTTCTCAGTGTCACTACAGCGAGACAGAAGCTTTTTATGGCAAGTCTTTCCTGCCTTGCTTCTTCCACCTTCATTTATGTCTGCACAGAAGGGTATTCATATGCACCGTTGACAGGCATAAAGAATTGCACAAGGTTAGAATCAGCCAACTGATTAAAGTGACAGTTAAGCAGAGGAATCTGTCTGAGTTCTTTCCCTCCACCTAGAATTATGGGATTTATCTTAAAATAACTTGGAAACTTTCTCTTTCCTCAGTCTTCCAGTGGAGCTTGAATTTTTTAGATCTACAATACCAAATTAGGAAACCTTTACTGTCATTAGCCTTTAATCTTTTTATGTCGTTAAAGAGGCAGTCTCAATCTCTTCTAAAGGCAGACAGCACAAGAAGACTGAATGATATGCAGGTATTTCTGCAGCCTACTTTAAGAACATTCCTAAGTTTTTAGACAACAATTTAATCTCACTCTCCTTGATCCTGTAACTGAATCCATGTGGGTGGAATCTTGAATTAAAAGTCTTAATGAACTGCAAAAGCATTTTTGGAGACTGAATGCAAGACAAGGAATGTTGAGGATTTCCACTGAAGTACATGGAAGCACGTGCAACACAAGTAATACAGAAAATGCAGGTTTGTCTATGTTTTCTGCTTTTCCAAAAAGTCACACTAAACAAACTGCATGGTCTAGAAGAAATAGTTGTTTCCAATGTCATTTGTACCAGAGGCCAGCTGGATGATGGGAACATATTTTGTGTCTATGACTCCTTTTCTCCACCTTGGAAGAGAATACAAATCCAGACAGCACAAACAATGCAAGTCACAGATGATCTTTAAATAAATTTAAACTATATTATACCAATAACTAATCAGAATATTTCCAGGATTTTTTCCTTGTACAGACCAGAACCTGTTACCAAAAATGGAGCCAATAGAGCAATAAGAGAAAAAATGTCAGTAATTCTTGTCTGTGATAACCTCAAAATGAGCCAGCTTCCTGGAGTACAGTAAAAGTAATACACTCAAAATATGAAAAAGTTTTAAAGTGGGCTGAAAGGCAAAGCACTGGATTTGTCAACACTGACATTACCAATGTGTCTAGGTTCAGATGAGTTGGTCACATAATCAAGACAGCTCAGAGCTCAACACAGACAACTTCCCCAAAACTTTTGCCTCCTCATCAGTTAGCTTTTGTTGTGCAGTTTACTCTGTGTCATCACGGCTAGAGAAAGAGTTTTAAGTGCATCTACATGACATAGCCATCAAAGTCTCAGCCGTGTTGTAGACCTACTTATTATTTAAGGACCAGACTTAGTCATATGGGGGAGGCTTCACATACACACACGTGTATTTGCTACACACACACAACACATAGCACTCACCGGCCACCAGACCATGCTTCGTCCAGCCAGGAAAAATCCACCTACTGTCCCTCGGTTGGTTGAGTACATAGCCTGGGGAAAGAAAAAAAGGAAAGAAAGAAAGATGGAAGAATATTTTAAGTATAAAAGGCAAGCTACACACAGACTAAGAACAAACGGCTAGAAGGAAAAGATAAAATATATGGGGAGGGTAAAATGGAAGAAACAAACAGAGAAGCTAAAAAAAACAAGCTGAAGAAAGATGAAGAAAATCCAACAACCGAACAAGGATTCTCGAGTCTAGGTCTACATTAACTAGTCAAGCTTCATTGCTTCACCTTTCATTACAGTGCAAAACAATAAAATTAAATTTAACCCAAAAAATAGTCACTCAGATCAAAGTTCACACAAACATTTCATCAGGGGCACAATGCCTCTGATTTCAGGCATCAAAAAGGACTGTAAGCTGCAGGTTCATTAACAGAAAGGTTTTTTACTCAACACTATCCAGACCCAACAGATATCTAGAGACTTATTTTCTTGTTATGGTGTCAGCATTATACACGCATCTCTCTGAAGTTCAGAAAAAGAAGCCAACTAAAATTTCCTTTTCACATACTCATTTTGTATTTGTCAAGGGATGGGCTTTAGAGGGAAGTTTCATCCAGTTTTTGTAAATGACCCTGATGCAAATATTGGATTCCCATTGTCTCCTCTCATGGACTTTGAACAGACAACTAAAGAAAGAAAACTTGGGAAAACTATCCAGAACTTTTCTTCTGATGCAGAACAGAGGAAGTAAATGCAATAGGTTTACATTTAACTACACACAGCAACTGAGGAAGTATTTGTCCAATAAAGAGGACATTGTTGCTGAGAAGAAACAGTTCCAGGAATTACTCAGCACACAATTGCCTGACAAGCCACAGATCAGCCCTCTTTTGTCTCACACCTTTAATACAAAGCGACAGCGAGACTTCCGTGGCAACGACCCAGATCCCTCCCTCAAGACAACAAGGTGTTCAGGTACACTGGAGGTTTCAGATTTTTTGCTACTTATTTGCCATCTACTACTATGATGAAGAGGTAAAGGCTGTGTCCATCTTGTGTTAAATTTTTGGTGCCCTTCAAAACTCTGCCAGCTGCTAGAAAGGGAAGTTTGTTTTGCAGCTGAGCTCTCTATGCTGTGAAAGGGAGCCCTGGGATGCTCCCGGCAAGCAGAGCGTTGCTGAGGGACAATGCCTCCTCTCCACCTGGTCAGGTGTACAGGTGATCAAGAGAGCTTGCCCCAAGGAAACCAACATTTAGTGACATTCCACTATTTACAGCTTCGTAGCTCACAGCATTGGCCTGTTATCTTCAAACACTTCAGCATGAGCTTACAGCGATAGGACAGTATCTGCCTTTCCCCATCAGCTGTGAAAGCACCGTGCTTTGTTTTCAATTAGGCACTGTGGCATCCCTTGCTGTCCTCAGCACACCAGCACTGCGGGGTAAGGGCAGGAGGCTCTGCTGTGCTTACAGCATGAACAGAAAGTCACTGCCATCATTTGTCACCCCTGAAACTGTTCCCTCATCACCATTTCAATGGCACTTCATGCTGCACTCAAGGTCTTGCTGGCAAAAAAGGCCACAATAAAGCTACCTTCAAACGGCTCCTACAATCCTGACCCATCTCACCCCTTTGCTGAGTGACCTGCAGTCCCCAGACTGTCACACAGTCAGAGCTGGAGTTTTACTGTTAAGCCACCATACTGCCCTCCCCACACATTGACTTCACCTTCTTGTTGCTCCCTGCAACTCCCTCTTCTCACTGTTTCCTATGGCATCACCTCACAGCACCAATTCTCACTGCAGTCCCTGTGCTCTGCAGTGCTAAACCCCATCTATTCACATCTACTCTGCTTTCTAACTGGGACTTGAGCTGGCCTGACCTTTAGTGATCAGATCTCTCAGCTCCTTCCCCACATAAACCTCATTACTACACCTTCCCCACTAGTTCCATTCATCCACCTAAATGGCTGCCTTCCCAGGTCACCATCCCCTCTCCAGTAAATACCCACATTTTCCTCATGATGCACTTATTAACTATCTCAGTTAAGCACCAAACTCTTTACAAAGTTATACGTTTTCACTTACTGAGCCATTTTCCCAAGACCCAATACAGTACCTGCTCATTAAGTAAAAACAAACTAAAATAAAATCCCAACCTACCCATAGTCCCACTGCCAGGACTACCAAAAAATAGATGACGATAACAGAGATGTCTGCAGCATTGTTGATCCTTATGTTGGTTTCCATCCTGGCTGCTTCTCTGCCTCTCTTCTTTCTCTCCTTACGTGCTTCTTGCAGAGTTCAGGTTAATGATAAACTGCTGTCATTCCCTACGTCTTATATAATATATAACTTCAGATTCACTTGTCTCCCATGGGACACAAGTTGAAGCTGTTGCTTTTCCTCGGGCAACAATTCCTTCCCAAATATTGCTCCTCTGTCACAGCTGCTGCAGAGTTCAATCCCCCTGCCAAAGGTGCTCAAGGTTTTAACATCCACGGGCAGATGTCTGAGAAGGAATGAGCACAGAGAGGAGTGGCTTGGCTGCAATAAACCCGTGTATTTACCTCACTGTGTGTGAATACTTTTTTTTTTTTAAGTGGTTGTACCTGTATATCTAGTCACGGAAGATGTAGTTCTTTCAGATGATGATGGTAAGGTAGGCAATTATCAGTGAGGAGGACTGACCTGACACCCGGGGAAAACCCAGGGGTCCGGGAGCTGCGACACCCTCTGTGTCATCTCTCAGTGCAGCAGCATTACTCAATACAGAAACAGCCCTGTATTTCTGGGAAGGAGACAACTTGAGGCTGCTTACATCTCTCAGATGGATCCAGGTAAAGATGCATGTGAGCCACAAGAGTTAGATCCAGGAGCTTACTGTGCTGAATTTCAGGGTGTTTAGACAGCGTTGTTGGTTCTCTCCATTGTAGCTAATCGGCTTCACATTCAGCTAAGTTCAAAGTTCATCAGAGCTTGGGTCTGTTCGCCCTTTATTTGTTCCTCTGACTTCAGAATCAAGCTAAGCAAAATAAATGGTCTCAAAGATGTGGAACTCACTGATTATAGACAGATCTTTACAGCTTTTAATGAGGAAGTTTCCCCAAATGATACCTGTGATCATCTGATTGAGCTCGGAGAGGTCAGAAAATCCCAGCATATTTAGAACAAGAGATGTGGGTATCAGGTACATTTCTGGGCTCTGAGGATACCTGGAAGTCCTGTTCTCTGCTTGACACTGAGGAATCATTACTCATTTATAGCTGAAGAGGCTGCCTTTGGGGAGTAAAATGTTACCCTGAAGTCACCCTGCGCAGAACAAGCAGTCCAGTGCACAGAAAGCACAGTGGCTTTGACTGATCTTGCAGTGGTTATTTCCCCAGCAGCTGAAATTGAGGTCTGGCACTCTGTTCGCTGGCAACAAGTTTTTCTTAGGTAAACTACCCTTTGGCATCTGTGGTTAATAAAAAGCATCAAAGTCTAAGAAGCTATAATAAAGGGTGATTATTTATAAGAATAAAATAAAGATCTCGCTGTTGTTTGGGCATCTATACTCTTATAAAACAGTCCTGTCCTGTGATAGTTTAGGTATCTCTCCTAAAACACATTCTTCAGTTTGTCCTACAGGACTGTGAAATGTTAGCTTTAAATCAAACAGAGAAAAAATTAACCCTGGAAGCTGCTGAGCATCCACAATTCCCATTAGCTGCAACCTTCCCTGTTGCATATTTCAGAGGAAAATAAAATACTTATTTACTAACCTTAATTATCAGAAAACAGTTTGCCTAAGATAGGCTGTAGATGGCACTTCTTTACAAAAACAGACGTAGATTCGTATGGGTCCTTGCAACTCACAAAAAGTTTCATTTTCATGAGTTCCATTTCAGTGTCAGTCTACAGAGGCAAAGCAAAGAAAACATATGGGAACTTATTTGCTGTAATGTATCTTCTGTCTTCATCCAGACCTTTCCAAAAAAATCTCAGGGGCTAAGAAACACTACAGCCACCTGTCCACAGCTCCTAGTGTGCCCACGTCAACAGGACTCCAAGGTTTGAAACAGTAACAGATAATCAGTGTCTATAAGAAAATAATCATGCAATTCCTATCTTCATATACAGTGGAAACAAACCTAATTCTGTTTTCTCCTGAAGGCCCTAAACCATATGTTCTTTACAAGACTGTCAAAATCAGGAGGCAGCTTTGTCAAAGGTCTTAATTTTAATATCTCATCTCCACATCCACATATCTGCAGTCCAAAGAGAAACCTAGAAGCATTATACTCAGCAGATTGTTGGTGTACTAAATGAATCACTTTATTAACAGAATGCATATAAATGGTCTCTGAAAGGTCAGCCAAGTTTCCAGATTTGAAAAAGGCTGAACCTACCTTTGTAGTTAAAACTTTTGAAGATAAGCGTTGAGTAAACCTCCTATTGTGAAGAATAAACTCCACACCAGGAGGCAACGATAACCTCTTTTTCTCACAGATTTCTCTCAGCTAGCATTGTGCTTCAGTGGGAACTCTCATCGTCCTCAAGTGTATGGTCAAGCAAGTATAGGGCTCCAATACTAAAGAAGATGACAAATTACTTATATAGAGAGGAAATTTTTCTACTCTTTCCTGTGAGCCAGGCCAAATCACAGAAGTAACAGAGATTTTAATGGGAGTGAGAAAAACAATTATTCTAAGTAGCATAACACAATGTAATGATTGCTCCCCTCTGGAGCAAGTCTGAGGACATTCAGCTTATCGTGAACATGTCTGTTCATACCTGAACAGACAATGCAAACAGTGGACAACAGCTACAGAACGGAGGAGTAACTTGTTCAAAATCACACACCAGATCACTGGTGGAGACAAACCAGAATTATGTCCTGGATTTGCACACCCAGCGATATAACTGGAAGGGCTGACAGCAGCACCACTGTTTTACAGGGCACAGGGCAGGTACATAAATAGTGTAGAAGCCGCAATTTTCTGTTGTCGTTAGAAAATGGGGTTGTAGCATAGAAAAACTGAGAATTATAGCCCTTGCTGCCACTTAGCTTAGTCTCTTAAAAACTTTTGTGTGACTCCTCCTGAAGATGGCAAATGATAAAACAAATAGCAAACCAAACAAACTACAAAGAGAAAGATGCATTAATATGCAAACTACCTCCCACAGAGGAACTCCTCTAATCTTTTCTCTGACATTCATTCAAATTTCTTCATACAGCAAGCAGATTTCTTTTTGGGATCCTCTTCAGGAATGCTAATTGATAGACATGATCCTTTGTACAATAAATAAAGGACAAAACCAGACAAATATTTGCAGTTATTTTACTTGCAGAAGGCTATATACTATATTAGTAACGTCTCTCCCCTCCTTTGCTGGTTTTCTAGCCACATAGTATGAACTTAGTGAGAAAAGAGATCATAAAATAAACAAAATATAAATTTAAAGGCTTTTAGCAAAGTTTTCCTAATATGATCCTAATAATAGAGTATTGCCATTAGAGTAGGAGACCGGAGGATTAGTACCTTTTGTTTGATGCTGCAAGTCCTTTTGCTCTTTGTGCAATCTTAACTGAATAAACTTGGGTCTAATTATAAGAATTAGTCACAGTAGCACGACAAAAATCTTGGAAACTAAAAAGTGGAATCCATAGGAGAGAAATTACTAAAAGGAAGAAAGATCTAAACTCCAGCAGGTATGATGTATACAGAAGAAAAAATCATCATGAAAACAGGTGGCTTCCTAAAAGGCTATCAGAAAGAAAGCAAGGTCATTAGAGGACCAGATAAAGAAACATGAAAAAAAGCCCACTTATTTATCAAAAAAAAAAAAAGATAAAAATAAAATTAACACTTTCTGGACTAATTTTCTAATTAGTATCTCTACAAAGGAGAAATATCAGAGGACAGAAAAACAGGTTTAGATGCAGATGGACCAACAGGCTTGAAGCAAGGCAATCCATTCAGTTCTCCAGCAAACAACCTCTGTGCAGTGACCAAGTGCGCCCGGCCCCGCAGCGCCCAGGCACAGTGACAGGAGAAAAGAGCAGCCCTAGGACTGGGCTCTTCCCACAAGGCAGGCCCAGACAACACATAAGGTAACTTGAATTTATTTTTGGTTTATGAATGCTTTATTTGTTCCTATAATTCAAGAGGTTAATAAGGCAGGACTGGTGACAACTGAAATATTAATTGAAATATTCAGCTAATAAAGTTGACTAGCAGATTAAAAGGTATTTGCCATGACCAGTGCAGACTGTCATCAGATTTAGGCACCTGACAGGAGGGCAGACTGTTCCCAACCAGCAACTTCTTAACTGAGTGGCATTCTCATTAAAACACAAGTATGATTATTAGCTCATAGACTATAAAAGACACAACTTATTCATCAGCCTCATGATTCTTTCCATCATATTTTGTATGTGTTAGAGGTTTGCTAATCCTTCTTGCTACCTCCAGAAACGTATTTTTTAGAGATTGATACATGGATATTCGCCACTTCTACTATAGCTAAAATTCAGTAATAGGAGGAATTACCCAGAGTCACTGCATAATAATGATCAGAACTCTCACAAATATTTTTGCTACTCATGTTTCAGAGATGTTTTAGGGAAAACAATATTTCCACTGCATAAAATACAGGAGAGAAATGAACAGATGAGCTGCTGATGCCCATTCCACTGAAATAATTCCCCATTTTTTCAGGTGACCTAATGAAAACCCCTGTTGCCCACACTCTATTTTGCTCAAAACAGAAGTAATCACTCTTGAACAATGGATAGCCTCAGTCCCTGTGGATATGTTTGGATTACACTACAGCAATAAGCAGCAACAATTTTTTTTATTACTATTATTATTATCAATTGTATTGGACAGGATAATTTGATAAAAGAAATCTGAGTGGAGGCAGGAAAAGGTCATAAACTACTAATGTAATAGCCCAATATACATGTCAGATTTGCGCTACAAGGTCGCAGGGGCTCTTCAATTAAGCCTCTTGTTTGCAGTGTTTGATTATAAAAGTAAATGAGGAAAAAATTTGAATAATACTGAAAAAAAAACCCAAAAAAAAACCCAAAACAATATAAAGCTTCTGGAAAATCAGTAAGAGAGAAAACACTGTTGGAGAGAAGCCAGGGGAAACATTCTTTGAGTAAACTGAACCAAAAGAGACAGTATTCACATTTGACACAAACACTTTTTTGCTATTGGAGCAATAAATTGATTAGAAATAGGGAACAGTGAGACATG